TACACCTGGGAATTCTGATCATTCATATAAACTTACAGGACCATTGTCTGCCAACCTTATGTATGTTCTTGGATACACTCCCCATTTCATAGACATATCTAGTAGTTCAGCCTGTCCACCCATCTATCCACCCATATACCCATGCTTGCTTTCACTGCAAAAGGGTTCATATTTTTTATCTGTACATCCCATGTACCTCTCTATGTCTTCCTCATCCTCAGTGCTGCCATATTGGTCACTCACATTTGGTACATTGCCCTTCTCTTCACCCAAATCAATACTTATCTTTAACAATCTAACCACATTCCCTCCCCTACCCTGCCACCCCTGGTAACCAACAAAGGAAATGTCCTTCTATAGATAAACCTTTCCTTAACTTTTACAATAATGGATTAATACAATATTTGTCCTTTTGTGATTGACTTATTTCCTTCAGCATAATGTCCTCCAAGTTCATCCACGTTACGTTATGTGGTGTTTTGCAGATCCTACATTATTCTCAAAGAAAATAATTCAATCTTGAAAGGGTTGTAAGTAAAGTAAGGATTAAGCACAAGCTCTGTGATACTGCCATAGTTGATCTGATAAGTCAGGCAGCTCTAAATAACTAACTGGCAGGTAGCATATACAGCATAGATATGCTGAATGAGTGATTCATGTCCTTGGTAGGACGTAGTGAGATGTCATCACACTAGTCAGAACAGTATGCAATTTAAAACTTACGAATTGTTTATTTCTAGAATTTTCCATTTAATATTTTCAGTTACCCACAGTTGACCACGAGTAACTAAAACCAGGCAAAGTAAAACCACAGGTAAGGGATGACTACAATATATTTACTATTTTTTGCCAACACCATAATCAGATGCTTTAAATTCTTCTTCAGTTGTCTTTATTCACTGTCCAGCTTTCATATGCATATAAGGTGATTAAAAATACCATGGCTTAGGTCAGGTGCACCTTACTCCTCAAAGTAACATCCTTGTTTTTAACACTTGAAAAAGGTCTTTTGCAGCAGATTTGCCCAATGTTTTATACTTATTCGATCTATATGCTAAGCA